AACAATAGTGTTATCCAAAGAAAAAGTGAACATGGTTTCGTTATTTATAATGACATTTTATTATCTTAATGACATATTCTCGGAACACGAGTATTATATTGTGTTGTTTATTAATATTTTAATTTACGTTTTGTAAATGTAACATGAATTGAATGATGGTACGGATTATAATTGTGCTGACCTTTTTTGTTTGGATATGTTAATTTTGTATTCACGACAGGTATAATAAGTTAGGGTGCGAATTATAGGCCTATTGACTAGTTGTTATTTAGACATGTTTTGTTAATTTGGTAATTGATAATATAGATAAAGAAAGTTAACACAAAAACTTTCGTTTTTACTTCTCCTCACCCAACGTTTTTGACAAGACGGTGCTTATGCTTATTGCTGAGTATATTTTGGAAACCATTTAAACAAAAAATGGTCTATGTGTGTATGTGTGTGTATTCTACAACACTTCAGGACCATGGTACAGTACCTTATCTTAACCAATCCTAGTTGCACTGAACACGACTGTACAAACAGATTTGATTAGCTTCAGATCATTCAGAGGTCAACTTAACAAATCAAAAGAAAAGTTCAAAGAATCCTCACGTAGATAATTTTTCTTTACTCATTAATTTATTTGAGTTTGTTGACAATACTGTCGAGGTGTACTATATAATTTACCTGTTTCTCCATTTGATTAAGCAACGCCTCCGTTCTCATTATGAGTGACTTTCAAACCTTTATGCGGACATCATTTGTAGCCAGTTTTAAGTTTTCCCTCTCACGATTTTTGTACTAATTTTGTTACTTTACCCAAGTTCTCCGCCCCATCACCGTGACCCGGCATGGCCAGGTGGTTACGGCGCTCGATTCTCAATTTGAGGGTCGCGGGTCGGAATCCCCGTCCCACTAAACGTGTTAGCTCTTTGAGCTGTGGGGGCGTTATAATTTAACGGTCAATCCCACTATTCGTTGGTAAAAGAGTAGCCCAAGAGTTGGCGGTGGGTGGTGATGAGTAACTCCCTTCCCTCTAGTCTTTCACTGCTAAATTATAGACGGCTAGCGCAGATAGCCTTTGTGTAGCTTTGCGCGAAATTAAAAAAAAAACCTGTTTCCGTTTAAGCAAAAAATCACTATAACACCTGTAACAATTCAGTTCAAAGTCAAACAAACAGATCTTGTTACCATGGTGAGCGGAAAGCCATCTTGAACAATTCTATGTCGTCACGATGGCTTAACCATGACATAATTAAATTTCAAACTGTACTTCTTGCGTATTCCCAGTTCAACTTCCGATAGAGCTCAGGTTTCTGGTTTTCTGGTATCTAATTTTTAATCTGTGCTATCTATCAGTATCATACCAACTGATACTGCACAGAACTGTAATCATATTGAGATGTTAATGAATTTGTTTTTCCTTTGGAATACTATATTTGTACCAATACCACAACTATCAACTTTAAACGACATACAACATTTTAAAGTGATTCTGGTAGCTTGTTGATCTTAGTGTTTAATGTTACATGTTTTATTGTAATTGTGTGAATCTAAGAAAGTTTTTTTTTTTTGTAACATTGTTAGTAAATTATTGAAACTGGATTTTAGGCTATCAAAAGTGATCCACAGATCAGAGATCGAATTCTTGGAGCCTACAACATGATGTTGGATTTTTATGGAATAGAACTTGTAAATAAACTCACGGGAGAAGTGAAACGAGGAAACAACTGGGAGGAAAGAGTCAAGAGCCTAAACAAGTAATTATATTTCTATTATTACTCTTAGGGGCGTAGCCAGGGAGGTTCGGACGACCATCCATGTATTCTAAAGTGTCTAAAAGTCCACTATCTTCTGATTTTTTTTTTCATTTTACAAGGCTTACATAAGATGTTCACAACTCAGCAACTTATTACTGTGAGGTAAACTAAGCTCCTTTGTTTTCGCTCTCTTGAATTTTAAATATTTTAATTTATTTTAAGCTAAGGTAAATAACTTTTTTGGAGAAAAAGACTCCCACCCCACCCACTCTATGGTACTGGCTATGCCCTTGTTTCTAAATTATATTGTGGTACTTGCAGGTTCACTGATTTACTTCTCAAGTAGTAACCACAAATAAAAAAGGAGGAGGAATGACCAAAATATATATAACGAAGTTAAAAATTAGACTTGACTGTGTTGAAGAAATGAGATTAGATACAATGTTACACAAATTAAATTAATCTTTATTTATCGAGCAAAACAATGTGGGAAAAAGGGAACGTCAAGTGTTTTTAGATAACAGAAAGAATCTTTGGAACTCCCTCTCTATTCAAAAGATAGCTTTTGTTCTAGACTGAGAAAGCATGACATTATATACACAAATCACCACCCAGTGAAGCAGCGGCATGTTTAAGGGCTTATTAAACTAAAACCCGAGGTTTGATACCCGCATAAGACATAGTACAGATAGCGCGAAGTGAAAGTAATGAGAATTTAACAGTGTATTGTAGTAGTTTAGTAGTCTGGGTTATTAAAAAGTGACTTAAGGAATTAACCCTTTAGCTCAGTTGATAGAGCACTTGCCTGGTGTGTTAGTGGTCTAGGGTTCAGAACTGACTCGCGGAAATATATATTGGAAAAATAAATTACCACAACAGTACTACAGAAGGCGGATTTCCTTTATACAAGAGACTGTTAGAACACATATATCTGAAACAAACAAAAAACTCAGTAAACTAAACTGGTTACCTTTTTAAGTTACAATATAAAGAAAATGTTGTTTTTCAAACATCACAACAGGGACGTCATTTCATTGTTTGTTTGTAATTAAGCACAAAGCTACACAATGGGCTATCTGTGCTCTGCCCACCACGGGTATCGAAACTCGGATTCTAGCGTTGCAAGTTCGCAGACTTACCGCTGTGCCACTGGAGGGTCGTCATTTCATAAAAAGATTATACAAACTATGTGACAGATCTTTAAAGTTAACTTAGATATGTGGATACTTCAACGGTTAAAATATTTTTTATACTCACAAAAATATTGAGTATTATTTAAAATCCATAGAGTTGAGGGAGCAGTTAAACTAATATTGGTTCAGCGGTAAGTCTGCAGGTTTACGAGCCTAAAAGTCGGGTCTCGATACCCATGATGGGCAGAGCATAGATAATCCATTGTGTAGCTTTGTGCTTAAGAACAACTTAAATCAAACTGAAATTCGTTAATATTTTAGAATTTCTGAAATTACACTGTTTAAATCAAAATAATACCAAGCTTAAGTACTCTTAAAATATTTTTAATTTGCATTCGTGTTTAGCAGTTATAACACTATATTTCAGAACACCATTATGTGACTCTAGATTACACTGTTCAAATTTATTAAAATACTTGACTCAGTGTGGCTCATGCTGGACTGTACATGTAAGGTCACATGGTTATCGCCAAAAAACAAAATATGGCGGTCAAGTCCCACTATTCAGACCGAAAAGAGTAGCCAAAGAGTTTGCAGTGGGTGGTGTTTACTAGCTGTCGTCCCACTAATCTATCACTTTGAAATTAGGGATTGTAGCTTTGCGCGAAATGCAACAAACAAACATCAAAATAAGAGCAGTCAGAAAAACTGAATACCCTCGCCCCGCCGCTACTTTTCGAAATTGCATGCGTTTATATTGGATAACGTCAGAGTTCACCATCGAAAACTCAGAAAATCCTTCTCAGATCCAGAATGATCAATGATCCGGATCATTTTTTGTAGAGTGATGAGGAATCTCAAACTTAATGTGCCCATGAAATATGCTACAAATCGGATCACACTTTACAGAATTATTAACCCTAAACCGCGAAAATGCCCTATCTACCCATTATATAAAATGCTTCAATGTGATCCAAAATCGATCAGGATTTGGATCCGGACCAAATGTGGGGAGGACTGTCCCATAGGAACTTCCCATTTTCGTGTACATCGGTCAATTAATTGTCGAGATACGCGCGCGGAAACATAGACATTTTAAAATCCGATTGCAATACACCCCACCTCTAGAAGTGAGGGTAACTAGGTTCATTCATCTTTGCATCTAACAGTATCGGTCAAGCCTACAACATCCTACTTGTGCTCTGGAAAACCTGTGATGCCAATCTGTGAGTCAAAACCTACTCTCAAATGAAATTAGTACTTGTGTTTATGGCAAAGCTACCAAGGCTACCTACCGCCGACCATAATTTTAAACTACTGACTGTCACTCTTATAATGCATCAACAGCTTAAAGTGTAGAGAATATTTTGCGATATCGCACGGATTAACAACTGTGAAATTCAGAGGCTCTGCCACAGGACCAACAGAATTCCCTTTTAATAATCAACAAAGGTCACGTTCACTCTTTAATGGCGGAAACTTTAGCTAAAGCTCGTTTAAACAATGTAACGTTGAGCTATGGTTAAATAAAGCTCGTTTAAACAATGTAACGTTGAGCTATGGTTAAATAAAGCTCGTTTAAACAATGTAACGTTAAGCTATAGTTAAATAAAGCTCGTTTAAACAATGTAACGTTGAGCTATGATTAAATAAAGCTCGTTTAAACAATGTAACACTGAGATATGGTTAAATAAAACTCGTTTAAACAATGTAACGTTGAGATATGGTTAAATAAGACTCGTTTAAACAATGTAACGTTGAGCTATGGTTAAATAAAGCTCGTTTAAACAATGTAACGTTGAGCTATGGTTAAATAAAGCTCGTTTAAACAATGTAACGTTAAGCTATGGTTAAATAAAGCTCGTTTAAACAATTTAACGTTGAGTTTTGGTTAAATAAAACTCGTTTCACCATGAAGCTCGTTTAATCAGTGGTGTTGAACTATAGTTTAATGAAGTTGTTCAACTAATGCAGCTTTGAGCCATGGTTTAATGAAGCTTATTCAACCAATGCGACGTTGAGTTACGGTTTTAAAATAATATATAACTTGAGAATACCGAGTAGTTTTATGACGTATATCAAGAGATATTTAACTTGATGATCGTAATTATTTATTTACTGTTATAAGTTTTAAAAATATTCTGTTAACTTACAATCCTGATTTATTATTATTATTATTTATAAAAAGGTTTTGTTTCTTTGTAGTTAAGCACAAAGCTACACAATGGGCTATATTTGTGCTGTGCCCTCTACGCCTATCTAGTGTTATAAGTCTCTAGACTTACCGCTGTGCCACTGGGGGAGCATATAAAAATTAATTTAACATATTTTTCAGATATCTTCATAACTACTTACGGATTACCCGGATCCTAAAATTTCTTGGTGAAGTGGGATTTGAAGAGTTTAAATGCCCCCTAGTGGAGTTTCTCCTTCTTGAGTGCCTAAAAGAAAAGTCTTTGACAGAAGCTAAAATATCTCTCAGAGACTATTGGACTTGTGTACTACGAAACGAAGCAGATCGTACTTACATACTACGTCTTCTCAATCAGTTTTGGCCTAACTACGAATCATTTTGAAAAACAATTAACTTCGCCATGATGAGAAGAGCTGTAAGACACTGGCACAAACGAACGGAGTAACGAATTCAAACAAACAAAAAATTAATTATAATATCAGGAAAAAAATGTGCCTGCGATTTTTGAGAGACTATAAAATAACAGAACCCTAAAAGTCATGTTTACATATTTACAGTTAAACTATAATTTTTGTTTTACGTGAACATTTATAAAACTACCCATTTTGTTTTCTATAAACACTTTTAAGGCTTTTCCCTTTCCGTGAGCACTTCTAACGTTTTACCTTTTGTCTTCTGTGGACACTTTTTGTAAAACTTCCAATTTTGTTTTCCTTAAACACTTGTAAAACGTTCCTGTAGTTTAAAACAAAAGTTTATCCTTGCTTTACGGAGCTAGTCAATTTTGCCATGTGAATTAAAGGATCCATATTTTTGTCGTCAAATTTGAAAACCTTGGATGTATGTTATACACCGTTAGCTGGAATATATCCTCATGTAAACGAGGGGATGTTTTTTTTTTGTTGTTGTTGTTGTTGTCGTTTTTCCATGTATGCTTTTCCACTTTCCTAAAAGACTATTTTATGTTGTCTAAATAAAGCAATTATCAGTTATAACGTGTGGGCATCAATTATTTCACGTTGTTATAACTGGAGTTTAGGTTGTATGACACTACATTACAGGCTAAGTGTGAGTTGTTGAAAGTAACTAGTGGATTAGACATTCTTCTGAAAATTGAAATCGGGTCCAAATTGAACTCGTTTCTCTTGTTTAAAACGTTGCTGGGTTGGGCCCCGTTTAGTCTTCAAACGGTTTTCCAATTTCACAGGACAGTGTTTCAAATCGTTTTTTTTTATCTACTTCCACTTGAGGTCGAAGTTCAGGTATTGGGACACTACAGAAGTGAAAGAACAAAATATTTTCGCCTTATCGTGTAGTCATATAAAAAAAGTAGCATTAGATATTACGTATCAGAAACAAACCAAAGTGTTTGTATTTGTCACGTGATTTCTGTTTTACAAGTTAAGTATTTGTTTCCTCAGAAAATGTAAAGTTAAAATAAGGTTAAATTTTAGACATGCCTCTACAAGGTACACATGGCTGGTGTATTCAAACTCCATTTTGACGTCGCACAAGCGGATGAGAATGATACCCCCCACCCCCCCATCATGCCCAAAGTTGGAAAAAAAAAACGCGGCCTAGCTAACTAATTAACTGATGTATGAATTGGCTGCCAATTTTGATTTCATTCATTTAAGTCACATGCTTATTCCTTTTTTTGGCCGCACTTTTTTCCACAAGTAAGTTCTTTTTAACTAAATATGATATAGTTCTCTTTCATTCTGGAAGTTATAAAAGTGTTTCTTGCACAAAAGCATATTCTGAAAGTGTGTAAGAAAGAACAGAATTAGAATACAAGTTGGGTACTAAGTTTTAAACTGTTGAACTTTGTTGGCAAAAAAAAAGAAGAGATTGAACTACTTTTGAAAATTCCACATTTAGGAAAAAAAAGATACAGACAATTTTCACTCATCATATCAGGTTAAAAAATAAGAAACATATTTGTTATAAAATATATTTATTGAGCAGCTGCTATTATTAAAAAAGAAATCAACATACACCACACAGTTACTGGAAATGAACAGCTTTCAAATAACCTCTACAACAACCATTACAAGGAAATCTTCCCAAGCAGAGATGTTTGGTTTCTCACATACATTTATCATATTTGAGTACAAACTATTAAAGGCATCATCAGAAAATTACAAAAAATGATCACTATTGCATAAAATAAACACGAGTACCCAAACATTTTGTAGCATTACGATTTCATTAAAATTTTGATGGCAGTTTGGTATGTGAAGGACTTTTATTAAGTTTATCGATGTTGAAAATGTTCACAAATTTTTGCTGATTGACTTTGCTTCTCCTGGGGTGTAATTAATATTTTTGTAACTCATAGGAAATGAATTTATGGTTCAGAATGGCAAAAAAAAAAATCATCTAAAACTTAAACTCCTTTTAATATGGCACACACAGATGCAGATCATACAAACCACAAATATATATATATATTGATTTTACTTTAAAAATTTATACTTTGTATTTGTATTTTTTGCAGGCTCTTTCTTGATTAAAGGAAACAAGTGTTGTTATGAGAGCTTTAATACATGGCTGATCTACACTGCATAAGAAAGTACTAAGATTATTAAAACTTCATTCTAAAGATTAGACTGTCTTTCAAATCATTTCACAGATAACAGTAAAGGCACAGTTTAACTTAAGATCCAGTTTGGACTCGTGAAAATGGGTATTGGTCTTTAAAGCACTGGTATTTAATTTTTAAAATACATTCGTTTGAAATTATACATCTTAAAATAATTACAGATAACAATGAGCTCTAAAAAATCCCTTTAAGAATTAACAAGTGCATTTCTTGATAAGAAGATTAAGAAAGAAAAAGGTGGACTTGAAATGGTGGAAGTACAAAGTATCATTTATGTACACCTTTCTCCCAAGATAATAACCTTCAAGTCTGAACTTTGTCCAGCAACTGATATTGGATTATTAGTAAAAACACGAGTAAAAAAAAATTCTTAGTCAAGGACAAAAATCATGTGACATAGCTTCTGTCTTACAAGTACCTAGTTATGAGGAGCAGGTTATGTACATGACATGTTTTGAAAGTACTTTGTTATAAGCTGTTTATATTAGTAACCCAATTATCTAATTAAGTACCTAATTGTTCAGTACGTATACCAGGATGTTGTTGTCAGCTAGATTGTCCTCAACTTCTCTGATAATAAACTTGAAAATAAAAGTTTGAAGGTAGCTTGAATGGATAAAAAAAAGTTCAGTAAAACTTTAACCTACTGACAAATATTAAACATTTCAACAAGGTTTTGTCATCATCGGCAGTGTTGTTCACCTGTTACTATGTTAAACTTGTAATGAAATTTCCTTTATTAAATATTCAAGCCATCTTCATACTTTACTGTCTCAAACAAGTTCCTCCTTATCATATCCAACTTAAAAATAGTTAATGATGATGGAAAGTTGTTACCAAATACTATTCTTTCCTATTGGAGTAATACAAAGCAAAAACAAAATCAAGTTTTTTTGTAATATAATTTCTTGTTTCCCTCTTGAAATTGTTAAAGAAAGTACTATGTAAGTTTGTCTATGTGCTTGTGATATCGTTAACTTTTGACAACTTTCTTAGTTTTGTTTATGACTCATGATTTTCCATTACCTTCTTCAATAACTTCATTATTTATAAATGCACCATGCTATGGTTTTCCCATTCTGATCATTACAATAAATCATTCCCATTTATATAGGAAAAATCAAAGACATTATCAACCTAAAATGAGTACTTGACGTTAGTAATGCATAAATGTTTCAAACTAACGGCAGTTCCACTGTTCAGATGTTCAAGTTGTACTTTTATTTTATTTTTTGTATCTTTTTTTAAAGATAACCCCAAACCATGAATTTCCAGGTTTATTGCATTTTTGGTTGAATTATCACATTTAACATATTTTGCTTTAATTATTATAATTATTAACATTACACAGGCATAAGAAGTATGCAGCAGTAAACCTAGGGCTTTCTGATATCACAACTTGGACTTCACTTTGGACATTAGGTTGTCCAGTTTCAAGGCTAACCCCATATTACCTTTGATCTTAAGCTTTCCAGACATGAAAGCTGCCGTGGGCTTTAAAGACCCTGAGAACATCTGTATAAAGCTTTCTGTATCTACAACAAAAGTGACATCTCCATTAACAGGTGGATCTCCTTTACCAACTGAGCCTCTTCCATTCTTTAAGTCTATGTACCACCTTTCCTTTGGTTCTCCTGTAACAAATCAAATTTTAACATATTGAAAAATATTTAAAATTATTTAACAAATCATCTAAATTAAATTCTTAAAGGAAAATATTCAGATACAAAAGTCAAATTTAATTTCTGATTAAAACTGTCAAACAACATTTTTCAGTAGTAATCAGAAAAATAACTTTGAAGCAAATTTTGTTCTTACATAGACATCATCTATCTTACAATGCATCACATTACTGGTTAAGAAAATGTAACATCAGAACCAATGGTATTTTGTACTGTTGAAGTACAGTACCACATGTTGCCATGGTATTTTGTACTGTTGAATTACAGTACCACATGTTGCCATGGCATTTTGTACTGTTGAATTACAGTACCACATGTTGCCATGGTATTTTGTACTGTTGAAGTACAGTATCACATGTTGCCATGGTATTTTGTATAGTTGAAGTAAAGTATCACATGTTGCCATGGTATTTTGTACTGTTGAATTACAGTACCAC